AAAATCGAATGGTAGGTGTATTGTAACACTGAGAGACAGAATAGCAACAAAAAATTCAAAAGAAATGCATGTCTAACAAATGATGCACTGATTTGCATGTTCATGAGGGAAATAAGTATTTGATCCCCTATCATTCAGCAGGATTTCTGGACACCAGGTGTCTTTCATACAGGTAACAAGATGAGATTAGAAGCAGTCTCTTAAAGGGAGTGCTGCTAATCTCATTTTGTTACCTGTATAAAAGACACCTGTCCACAGGAGCAATCAAACAATCAGATTCCAACTCTCTATTTTAGCATTGCATGACCGTACAATTGTCAGTTAAAATAACGCAGCGCTGTATCACAAAAAAGCCTGTTGGGGGGTAAATCCTCTGAAGGGCAAGTTGTTAAACAGGAAGTAGAGTACATCAGCAGTAATAGGCTGAAGTGAATCCTCAGTAGCAGACTGTAAACAATACAGGGGCAACAGAGGAGAATCACTTGCAGCAAAGCACTTACACCAGCCCTACATGAACGGATCGAAATTCAACCAGTTCAGCAGGGACCGGCTGAATTTTGATCTACTGCATTGAAGGACAGGGAGGTTGTACAGAAGTCAATCTACCAATCGACTTCATTACAACCACCCTTAGAGAGCTATCTTTGATGGATTTATTTAGGAAGCTGTGAGACGGGAGTTCCACTTTCAATATGCACAATCCGCTACCTATGAAAAAGCCATGTATTCTGTGCAGTAATGTTTCTAATACAGATACCTCATTGATAATTTTTGGCAAAATCTTGATCAGATTTTAATCTGTACACTGGCAAGGCCAGCCATACATGGGTTGAAATTCGACCGATTTTTCGTCCAATTTTTACTCTGTTAGTGGGTCAATGGCACTGGTTCCTCCACTTTTTGGTGATCTGGCATTTTGGAAACTTTGTGAAAAACAACCGATTTTCCACTCAATGATGGTCAAATCGTACGATCGTTTTTCAGAAAAGAATATGCGCATGAGCCATGACCTGGAAGGAACAGAAGTTTCGCCTGTTATATAGGGTGAACTTTATGACTTGGTCAGCCGATTTTAGAAATCATTGATGGCACCATCGGATTACCAAGTGAACGACGTTTTTGATTTTTGGACAAAAAATCGCTTGGTATTCGACCCATGTATGGCCTGTATAAGAGCTCAGGAAGTAGCAAGTATGCAAGAACAACATGTGCATCACCACCAGCAGCAGCCTTTCCTTTAAAGTCTCTGGTCAACCATGAGGTTGGTTTACTAAAGGCAAATATACTGTGCAGTGCAAGTACAGCTGCTCCAGAGCTTAGTAAATGAGGTAAAACTTCAATTTGCAAAGAATACTCAATGCAAGGGAATGAAAAACAGCATTTTTGCTTGCACACGATTGGATGATAGAAATCAGCAGAGCTTCCCCGCAGATCTAGAGCAACTGCACTTGCAGTGTACAGACTATTTGCCTTTAGTAAATCAACCCCATTGTGCGTTCTACATCCAAGATAAATGCTTCCCTGACGGAACAATGGTTTTCTGAATGCATATACATTTAATTCCAGCATAGTTTACGCAAAAACCTTTATGGCGCCTGTAACTTTATTGCCTTCATTATTTAAAGTAACTTTAGCCAATTATTTTCTGTTTAGAAGTTGAACTCTAGGCAGATACAGAAGACCACTAAATTAATACTGTTCTGTGTTCTATAATATTAGGGATGCACCGAAATTTCGGTGGCTGAAACGTTCCGGCCGAAAACACCCCTATCGGCCTTTGGCCGATATGAAAATAAGCACCGATACAGGTGCCAAAAATAACCTCACCCCTGCTGCTCGGTGGTTCTCAGCCTTACCTGAGAACCCATCCAACAGTCCCGGCGCTGGGCATAGAGATAAGTGAAGGAAAGATGGCCTCCACTCATCTCTATGCCCTTGGAGGACCAGAGTGTACATCATTTCTGTTTCTAGCGCCTTGTAGACAAGGTCTTTTTTTTTTAAGCCCTAAATCAATGCTTTTTTAATCTAACGCTTTACACTGTAGAGGAGGGATGTGGGGGTCTTATTGACCCCATATCTCTCTAGAAAGAGGACCTGTCACTAATTATTTCTATCACAAGGGATGTTTGCATTCCTTATGATAGGAATAAACGTGATTAAACATTTTTTTTAAAGGGACAGTGTAAAAAAAAGTTATAAAATAATTATAAAAATAATTAAAGGGCCCCATCCCCCCGCATAGTGGTGAATGCATATGTAGGCCACACCCACATATGTAAATGGTGTTCACGCCACACATGTGAAGTATTGTCATGAACGTTAGAGCAAAATCAATAATTCTAGCACTAGACCTCCTCTGTAACTTTACACTGGTAAACTGTAGAAATTTCTAAAGAGTTACCCATGGAGATTTTTAAGTACCGCAGTTTGACGCTATTCCATGAGTGAGTGCAATTTTAAAGCATGACATGCTGAAAAAACCCAGCCCCTCGCTGCCACCCGCCACTGCCGCCACCGCTCGGTAGTTCTCAGCCTTACCTGAGAAACCATCGAATGATCCTGGCGCTGGGCATAGAGATGAGTGAAGGCAAAATGGCCTCCACTCATCTCTATGCCCTTGGAGGACTGGAGTGATGTCAATTCAGGTTCCGGCCATTTTTTTTTAAAGCACTAGCTGAATGCTTTTTTGATCTAATGCTTTACATTGCAGAGGAGAGATGTGGGGTCTTATTGACCCCATATCTCTCCATAATGAGGACCTGTCACTAATTATTTCTATCACAAGGGATGCATGTATTCCTTGTGATAAGAATAAAAGTGATTAAATTTTTTTTAAAGGGACAGTGAAAAAAAAACAAAAACAAAAAAAACATTAAATACATTTAAAAAAAAAGTTTAAAGTGCCCCCGTCCTCGCACGTAGTGGTAAACGCATACATAGGCCATGCCCACATATGTAAACGGTGTTCAAACCACACACGTGCTGTATTGCCACGAACGCCAGAGCAATAATTTTCACATTAGACCTCCTCTGTAAGTTTACACTTTACACTGCTAACCTGTAGAAATTTTTAAAACATCACCCATGGAGATTTTTTTAGTACCGCAGTTTCACGCCATTCCATGAGCATGCGAAATTTTAAAGCGTTACATGTTGGGTATCTATTTACTCGTCATAACATCCTTTTTCATATTTTACAAAAAAATGGGGTATATATTGTTTTTTTTTTAAATCATTAAAGTGTATTTTTTCCCAAAAAAATTCAGTTTGAAAAATATATACGTTTTTTATAAACTGTCCATTTTGGTTTCTGTTTTCGGCAAAGAGAATCCTGAATTTTCAGTTTCGGTACCAGAATTTTCATTTCGGTACAGCACTACATAATACATATTTAAATGTGCCATTTGTTCATTAAATGCAAGCAAGTGCCTGAATTTGACCTGGTATGAGCCTTTTGCAGTCCATGTACAGCAGGGCTGGAGTATGAGAGTAAAAAGCAGTAGAAGGAGCCAATCAGTTTATATGCTCACAAGAACCATGCTGACAGGAGAAGAAAGCAGAGTGACACAGAGATGAACTTCTCGCTATGCTGCTACACCTTTCACTGTCCAGTCATAGGCTGAGGACATGGCATCCTGGGCATGGAGGAAGGAATGCTGTCTGTCATCCACCCAGAATACTGAAGACATCAAGTGGTGGAAAAGATGTACTTTTTCTTAAGTACTGCAGCAAAAGATGCTTTTTAATTTGACCTTTTAATGTTTACCGTATTTTTCGCTCCATAGGACGCACTTTTTTCCCCCCAAAAAAGGGGGGAAAATGTCAGTGCGTCTTATGGAGTGAATATGGAGCGGCCGGTCCGGTATTTCCACCGCCGCCGTGTCAGAATACCGGGCCGCCGCTCAGCTCTGCGGCGGGACCTTACCTGTTCCTCTATCCAGCGGTGCGCTGTCTTTCCGGCTTCTGTAGTGTGGGCGCTGGGCTTGACAGCCGGGGGCCAAGTGCGCATGCGCAAGAAGTGGAGCTCTTTGTGAATGGTAAGGCGGCACCTGGGACACATGACAGGTCCCAGAAGCCGCCGGACCAATCACAAAGCGCAGCGCTTCTCGCTCATGCGCACTGGGCACCCGGCTGTCAAGCCCAGCGCCCACACTACAGAAGCCGGAAAGACAGCGCACCGCTGGATAGAGGAACAGGTAAGGTCAAAGAACAACTCCACGGAAGTAAGAGCGGGTACCTGTCAAATTCAGGTACCCGCTCCCCCCCTCCCCAAAGGTCAGCAGTCATCTCCTGTACTGTCCACAGTCTCTGGTCATCTCCTGTACTGTGTCCGCAGTCTCTGGTCATCTCATGTACTGTGTCCGCAGTCTCTGGTCATCTCCTGTACTGTGTCCGCAGTCTCTGGTCATCTCCTGTACTGTGTCCGCAGTCTCTGTTCATCTCCTGTACTGTGTCCGCAGTCTCTGGTCATCCCCTGTACTGTGTCCGCAGTCTCTGGTCATCCCCTGTACTGTGTCCGCAGTCTGTGGTCATCTCCTGTAATGTGTCCGCAGTCTCTGGTCATCCCCTGTAATGTGTCCGCAGTGTCTGGTCATCCCCTGTACTGTGTCCGCAGTCTCTGGTCATCCCCTGTACTGTGTCCGCAGTCTCTGGTCATCCCCTGTACTGTGTCCGCAGTCTCTGGTCATCTCCTGTACTGTGTCCGCAGTCTCTGGTCATCCCCTGTACTGTGTCCGCAGTCTCTGGTCATCTCCTGTACTGTGTCCGCAGTCTCTGGTCATCCCCTGTAATGTGTCCGCAGTCTCTGGTCATCCCCTGTAATGTGTCCGCAGTCTCTGGTCATCCCCTGTACTGTGTCCGCAGTCTCTGGTCATCCCCTGTACTGTGTCCGCAGTCTCTGGTCATCCCCTGTACTGTGTCCGCAGTCTCTGGTCATCTCCTGTACTGTGTCCGCAGTCTCTGGTCATCCCCTGTAATGTGTCCGCAGTCTCTGGTCATCCCCTGTAATGTGTCCGCAGTCTCTGGTCATCCCCTGTACTGTGTCCGCAGTCTCTGGTCATCCCCTGTACTGTGTCCGCAGTCTCTGGTCATCCCCTGTACTGTGTCCGCAGTCTCTGGTCATCTCCTGTACTGTGTCCGCAGTCTCTGGTCATCTCCTGTACTGTGTCCGCAGTCTCTGGTCATCCCCTGTACTGTGTCCGCAGTCTCTGGTCATCCCCTGTACTGTGTCCGCAGTCTGTGGTCATCTCCTGTAATGTGTCCGCAGTCTCTGGTCATCCCCTGTAATGTGTCCGCAGTGTCTGGTCATCCCCTGTACTGTGTCCGCAGTCTCTGGTCATCCCCTGTACAGTGTCCGCAGTCTCTGGTCATCCCCTGTACTGTGTCCGCAGTCTCTGGTCATCTCCTGTACTGTGTCCGCAGTCTCTGGTCATCCCCTGTACTGTGTCCGCAGTCTCTGGTCATCTCCTGTACTGTGTCCGCAGTCTCTGGTCATCCCCTGTAATGTGTCCGCAGTCTCTGGTCATCCCCTGTAATGTGTCCGCAGTCTCTGGTCATCCCCTGTACTGTGTCCGCAGTCTCTGGTCATCCCCTGTACTGTGTCCGCAGTCTCTGGTCATCCCCTGTACTGTGTCCGCAGTCTCTGGTCATCTCCTGTACTGTGTCCGCAGTCTCTGGTCATCCCCTGTACTGTGTCCGCAGTCTCTGGTCATCTCCTGTACTGTGTCCGCAGTCTCTGGTCATCTCCTGTACTGTGTCCGCAGTCTCTGGTCATCTCCTGTACTATGTCCGCAGTCTCTGGTCATCTCCTGTACTGTGTCTGCAGTCCGTTAGTTCAGAATATTTTTTTCTCTAAAACCTAGGTGCGTCTTATGGTCAGGTGCGTCTTATGGAGCAAAAAATACGGTAATTTTTTTTTTTTACTGGAGTGTACCTCATGTTTTGCATATTGTGGGAAAGTTAGAACCTCTGTCAGGTTTTTACGGCTGTCTCTGTACATGTTGGAGAGACATTCTCTCATTTTCTGTCCCTTGACCCTGGACAGGAAATAAAAGGGGCAATGCACATAATCAAAAATGTATATATTTATGGGCCCATTGGGGAGAAGTTTCAGACATTAGAAGGAAAACAGAGGTAGCAACAAAGTTGCTCAGATTAAAAAAGAAGTATGGGATCCCCCCCAATCATACTTACCTAGGTGTTGCAGCGTTGATCTGATGCTGTCTTTAAGGGTGAGAATTCAGCGATCAAATGACCGCTGAATTCTCACAGCCGCTCTAAGAAGAGAGGGGTGACTGTCAGTCACTGCTCTCTGTTCAGCCCCCCCCCCCATGCTCACTGGAGCTGGGCTGTGGAAAGCGAGGGAGCGGCTGGCTCAGACTCTCAGCAGCTCACTGTGAGGCTGAGCCAGGTGCTGATCCAGACACTGAGATGGATCCCAACTTTAAAGTCAGGATCTTTCCCCAGTCTGGACCGGCTGAGTGACATCAGACGACAGCTGGCGTCAGCTGAAAATGGGTCACAGGAGTGCAGAACGAACTGCACTGTTACCCAATGGAGAAGTACAGCCAAAAGAGCTTTGGCTGTACTTCTCTAATAACCCCCCGATCACATCAAGCCTGCTCCAGACACTGAGATGGATCCCAACTTTAAAGTTAGGATCTTTCCCCAGTCCGGACCGGCTGAATGATGTTAGCCAACATCTGGCGTCAGCTGAAAATGGGTCACAGGAGTGCAGAACGAATTGCACTGTTATCCACAGGAGAAGTACAGCCAAAAGAGCTTTGGCTGTACTTCTCTAATAACCCCCTGATCACATCAAGCCCGACTTTGAAATTACGCAACTTACAGTGAAGTCGCACGATTTCAAAGTCGGGTGAGATGCCGATTTCAGGTGCGATTTGAAAGGCATCTGACACAGATGTCTATGCAAATCACACCAAAAGTTGTACACGTACTACTTTAGAAATCAGTGCGGCTCCGACCAAGTTGGAACAATACCAATATGACCACTCTAATTGCGGACAATAGGGTGCAACTTAGCATACGATTTGCAAGTTGCATGGCATGCAAATCGCATGCCAAGTCGCACCCGATGTGACTGGGGTCTAAAGGTTAACAAGTAAATCACAAACCATGCGTGTCCCCTAAATATGTGTTATAAGCAAACAATATAACTCATATAACCATCTCGGAAGTCAAGAAGCATCAATGTGGAGGCCCTCTCAATGTTCTTCGCTTCCAATACAGGTGCCGAAAAACCCCCGCCTGCCGCCCCTCACCCGCCGCTCAATAGTTCTCAGCCTTACCTGAGAAGCCATCGAACAATCCCGGCGCTGGGCATAGAGAATAGTGAAGGAAAGATGGCCTCCACTCATCTCTATGCCCTTGGAGGACCGGAGCGATGTCACTTCCGGTTTCGGCCATTTTTTCCTTTTTAAAGTACTAGATCAATGCTTTTTTGATCAAATGCTTTACATTGCAGAGGAGAGATGTGGGGTCTTATTGACCCCATATCTCCATAAAGAGGACCTGTCACTAATTATTTCTATCACAAGGGATGCATGCATTCCTTGTGATAAGAATAAAAGTGATTAACATTTTTTAAAGGGAGGGACAGTGCAAAAAAACCCAAAAAAATTTAAATAAGTAAAAAAAAAAAAAAAAGTTTAATGTGCCCCCGTCCTCGCACGTAGTGAACACATATGTAGGCAATGCCCACATATGTAAACGGTGTTCAAACCACACACATCGGTATCGCCACGAACGTCGGAGCAAGAGCAATAATTCTCGCACTCCTAGACCTCCTCTGTAACTTTACACTGCTAACCTGTAGCAATTTTTAAGGCCTCACCCATGGAGATTTTTAAGTACCGCAGTTTCACGCCATTCCACAAGCGTTCCCATTTTTAAAGCGTGACATGTTGGGTATATATTTACTCGCCGTAATAGCCGCTTTCATATTTTACAAAAAAATTGGGTATATATTGTTTTGTTTGTTTTTTTAATCAAAGTGTATTTTTTTCCAAAAAATTTATATTCATTTTTTAAAAACTGCGCATTTTGGTTTAGGATTTCAGCCAAGTGCATTTTGAATTTTCGTTTTCGGCACCAGAATTTTCATTTCAGTGCACCTCTAATTCACACCATACGTGCAGAAAAACTGCAAGTGAAATCTGCACATCAGATTCTATCAGAGACAGTTTACATCAGTTTTCATGCCAGTTTCAGTGAGTTTTATACAGAAAAAAAAAAAAATCTACACATTGTACTAATGTGGTGGTGTGAACAGGGCACATAGAGAACAACTGATTTCATTGTGCCCTTGAAGAACGTGTGCAGAAATACTGACGTCTCTGCACCATGGTGTAAACAAGCTTTTAGGGGGAGACTCTCCCCCCGGTTCACATATATGTGGCCATGCAGGCCGCGTTTTGCACGGGCACAAGAGCTCATTCACTTGAATGGGCTCCCATGCCGGTGACACGCAGGGAAGAAGTCCTTGCACTTCATTGGAAAACACAGCCCGCACAGGAACCTCGGTTCCCAGTACCTCGGTTGCATTTTCCAGTGCGGGCAGCGTGCCATTAGAAGTAATGGCAACCACCCTCGGGTCTGCATTTCTCTGTGTGGGTGGTGCAGCTGCACGGATTTTCGTGCGGATCCACAGCGGCACCACCCGCACAGATGTGAACCTAGGGTGACTAAAACTGGTGGGCTCAGAATCTGGTGCAGCTGTGCATGGTAGCCAATCAGCTTCTAACTTCAGCTTGTTCAGTTAAGCTTTAGCAATAAAACCTGGAAGCTGATTGGATTCTATACAGAGCTGCACCAGATTGTGCACTCCCCAGGTTTAGTAAACTTAGTTTCTGTTATTACAAATCCAGTATAGGCACTTCCGCCATCTAATTTGAAACTTCAGCTGGTGTGCAGAAATTGATGGTGATTCATACAGTGATGGCAGGTAATTCTACCCATACAGCTCTGTTTTAAAACAGATCTAAATACTCTACGGAACCTGAGCTCCCTTGCCTGTTGAAGCTGAACCTTAGCCAAATGTAACAAACGCCCACTTAAAAACTTACCTTTTATCAGGATCAGGCTCTCTCAGGTTACCGCGCCTTCCTGGTTACGAATGCATAACTGAAGCATTGCTTTAAAACAGAGATCTAATAACTATACATGAAGTATAGCCGTATATGTGTTTCTACATGTAAACACACAAACCAAACATGTGTCCTATGGTATGGGTCTCCTTGTCTAGCCAATGTTGGCGTGTAATCCCAGATAGGTGGCCCATACCCTGATGGTTAGAAGCGACAAGGCTAGTTCTTTTAGCCTCTGCGTTCTCAGCTCCAGAGGCAGTGCATTTTAATGGCTAGACATGGCAATTTCATTACATGCAGCATTGGACAGGGACACAAAGCAAGCAGAATTTGTAATACGTTATCCTCCATAAGGAATGAGTGTACCTGATATATGCCTCACTATATAAAGTATATTGCCCTGCACAAAGTGAGCTTGTGAATCATACTAACATTTTCAATCTCCAAATCCAAGGTTAACAGGAAAAATAAACAAGGAAATTTCTGATGGAAAGATCAAGTCATAAGGAAAAAGGGGAATGTAGAAAAATAAGTTAACTTTCCCTCGCTTAAAAATAAAGAAAAAACAAAACAAAACAAAAACATAAAACAAAACATGAGAAGGGAAAAAAAAAATAAGTTATCCCCATCTAAAAGCCAAATTCCGACATAACTCAATGTGGACATCTCATCTGGTGTGAACTGCACTCATTTCTAGTGTAAACCCCACCGCGCTCCGCAATGATATACTGTAATGTCACATCGCAATCTGGATTTACTATAAAGGGCTGTGACGAGTTTCAGAGCAGTAAACATTGCAGCGAGGTGTATTTCACACTGAGCTGGTTTTTATGAAGAACACTTCACCGCCCGGCTCCGGCGGCCCCAATGATGAATGGTGAAAGATGCGTGACAAGCTTCATCATTGTTTGTAAATCTTAACTGTTCCTGCTCACTAACTCTGTAGGCAATTTTCAAAGACAGCGGCTGACAGAAGGACAGCACGGCTCCCCTGAAGGTTATTCCACTCGTGCCTGGCTTATTTTGCTTACAAGGGGACCAATGCGCAACAACCAACACTGGACGCGTCGAAAATAAAAGAAGCAAAAACGAACCTTCAAATTTTACTGATCTACTGAAAATCTTTCAAATGAAACCATGCAGAACATCCAGCTTTTCTACCTTCTAACCTGTTAGACAATTCCTCTGCATCTACTTGTATAAAATGTCTAGGTGCATTGTCAGTATAACAATGATACACATCTTCAAAACAGGGCACCTGACATGCACTCCTAAAGAAACGCACAGCTAACCAGCACCCAGTATTTGCATATAAAAACCACGTCTGCTTGGGAAAATGTAATATTGCTTGCACCGTCAGTTCTCTGTAACACTACAGCACTCAATTTCTCAGATAGTGGCAGGGCACTGACAGCCACATCGGGTGCAAATTTTAAAATATTAGCATCAGACGAACTTTGCACCCAGCACTTATATGTATGAAGCTTT